TTTATATCGCAGAAACAGTAATGTTAAGGTAAAGATTGGCTTTAAAACAATGTTAGATAAAGGTTTTGTATTACTCGTACGGGAAACTGAGAGTATGTTAAGTAAGCGCGATTTTGTCTGGTTATATATGGAGTTGCTTGGGTTGAGATATCAACAGTGAAAACTCCTTCGGCTCCCCAAAGGCTTATTAAAGACACCAACCCCAATCTCACTGTAATAATATCGCGGGCAGGACGTGCACAGATGCCATCACCTAATTCCACAGCCTTTGCCTTAACCCCTTCTGGAATAGGCGTCGCAGCGCTACGATGTTGAGGGCGTAGGGGTCTCCTGGGCCCGCTTCGCCAGGGCGCGTCGAGCGGAAGGAGTTGGCCGCGACGAACTGTGCGGTGCACTCTCCACGGTTATTTCAGAGGCGAGGTTACGGCCATCCCAGCGCTATGGCGGCGGCGGCGTGTGTGATGATTATTGTCCAGGGCGAACCCTCGGTGATTTCTAAATGGCCGTGTAAATGGAAATAATCTTTTATATTTGACCGCGGTGCACGACACGCCATAACCCCCCCCCCCTTCGCATTCATCAGCGAGCGGTTGTGGTGGCAGCTTTGGATGATTTGCACGCACCAAAGTGGATGCTAAAAAACACGTGCACACACCGACGACAATGATGGGGCCTCTGCCGTCCGTTAGCAGTGTGAATCGTTTCGTGCAGATTCTATTTGCGACTGCCTTTTGAGACCGCCGTGGTAGTGCATGCGATCGGGCATTGTGGATATCGCCGCTTAATATAAAATCATATATAATAGTTTATAAGAACATCTGTACCCGTCGCAGGACGCACGCGAAATAGAGCCTAACGGCTTATTGGGCCCTTCCTGCAGAAATAAATCTAAATCTAATATTGTTGTTGTCTTTGATTTCCTTGGCCACTATTTTTTTATGGACTGCACTAGCTACTCGCATGAGGCCAAGTAAACCCAGTGGAGGTCCAGGCCAAGTCAAGATACCTGTTTCCGCTAGTATGCACGGCCACGATTTGCCGGGACGCACTGCTCTCCCTGACATCACACAAACGGCAAACCCCCACAATCGCACGCGAAACAAAGCTTTTCCCCATAGCCATGAAGACAGCTGCGAGCACCTATTAAGGACTGCACGGCCCACTGGGTGACAGTGTGCCTTTTGTCACTCGCCATTGCCATTGGCTCCCAAATTTTGCTATTTGCACACACCGCCTGAAGTATTCATTTAAGGCTGATTCAACACCCGGAGCGGAAGCCCAAATCGGCTTCATCTTGACACCCCCACTCCTCGCCACTGGCGTTCGCAGTGGCAGGGGATTGAACTCGGCTCCGCCGGTTTTACGGCTTAAGAAACCTGCGAAAAACCACTGCGCCACAGCACGGCACACAAGCAACGCTGTTGTGCACACACACACACACGCGTGCGCGCACGGGCGCAGACGTGTACGCGCGATTGCGAGCAAGCGAGCGCATGCGCTTGCCCTTGCCGGGAAAAAAAAAAGTGCCGGCAGCGCAGGCAGGCAGGCAGTGGAGAAGAGAGTAATGAGTTATCGCCATCATTAAGTGCTAATTGGCAGTCTTGGTGGGTGTCTGCGGGCGACTGCTTGATGAGAAATACCAGGGATTTTTTGGCCCGCGTGCCTGCAGTGTTGCTCGCCTTCTTTTGTTTATTTTTTTTGTACTTTCCCTTTTTCATTTATGATGACGTCTCGGTTTTGTCTCTGCTGCTGAATAATTTAGGCGACTCGGAGCTGGGAAAGAGCAAAGGGAAAACTTTCACCGGCGGTTTGAAAAAAAGCAGAGAGAGAGAGAGATTGAGGAAGAAGAAAAAAACCCGCCACGATTTTAAAGCAGTTCCAGTTTCAATATCGGAGGCATAAATTGAGGCAAACTATGGCATTTCCAGGTGCCGTCCACAGACGGTGGGACAGAGAGTTGATTATAACCCACTTGCTTATGCATTTCTGTCGTGTTGGTTGAGTTGGTTTAGTTGCCTTTTGATGTGCCTGTGGAAGCTGGGAATAGGTGTCCGAGAGTGCGTAGGGTTTTTTTCTTCCCCTCCGCTCCCCCCCCATAACCACGTGTTGTGCGTGAGCCCTGCAGAATCGTCCGTAAAATTTCAAAACGGTGACTTTTGTTCCGGACAGAAATCGGCCAGCGTGCTGGCGAGCAGCCTCTACAGTTTAAAGGGGGGGACCGCAGCTGATGAAAAATAAGGGGAGGGGGGGGGCCCATGGCATTTGCATTGTAGCTCCTGCTCCCCGTCTGCCTCACTTGGGGTTAAAGTTATATTTATATATACAAAGACATTACATGTGAAAAAATATGAAATATGCACGTGTTTATATACATGTGTTTCTGAGGCGGGTACCGATGGCGCGGTGGTTAACGCCCCAACCGCAACATGAACCCGACGAGCTGGGTTCGATTCCCGGCCGCGGCTAACGTCGTTGGCGAGGTGATGTCTTGCCCATTCTTGGGCACCGCGCGCTTTCACAAACCCATACTGACCGGCGTGGTGAAGTATGGTCAGGCAAACCCCCCCCAACAACCGACACGGCCTTAGCGGCAGTAGACTGATAAACGGCTGAAAAATGCAAGAAAGTTCACCTTGAGATAGAGACGGAGCACCGCTGGTGGAGTCGCAGTGGTGACAAACGTGAAATCGTAAGTTAAAATCCTCGCTTGAGATTACTTCACCCATCTTCCCGACAGGGGTGAGTAAAATTAAAGCAACTAGACTGGACCCTGCCAGAGTAATGTGGAACTTCTATCTCTAGCCTTGCAACTGCCAGCGAAGACAAACACTACCCGCTGCCCATTTAATCGTGGCACTTTGAATTTGTTTTTCTTCACAAAGAGTGAGAGAGAGAAGAAAAAAATCTTACAAGGACTTCAATAATTCATTTAACATTTCCATTTCTTGGCAGAAAGTTCAAAAAATTTCAAAAATAACCCCGCTGAGTGCCTCGGCGCTCACTCGGATCTCCTCCCCTCTCTGCGCCGTTGGCACCGCGGCGCTTTTGGCACCCGCTATCTCGCGTCATTTTCAACGCTCGCTGTGCCCACACCCCCGACACCTTCGCCGCCACTTCACACGCGAGGGGAGGGGAGGACGTTATTGGGGTTAGCGGAGTGCCGGAGAGAACATAACGAACATATGTTTACATTTTGGAATGGTGTGGGAGGAAGAAACGGGGGTAATTAACAAACTAAAAAGTTTGGTTAAGCGCTTGCCGTTTCGCCTATTTTTTTTTGCCACCCCTGTGTTTGTGTCTGTGTGTGGTTTTGGTTGTTGTGTAAAGGTGGGCCGGGCGTTGTGCTGGTGGCCACACGACCCCCTCGTGTGCCGTGTTGGCCTTCACAGGTGCTCGCTTAACAGCACTTGCCCCAACTGTCTGTTAAGGATGTCTGTCATCTTTGCGTTGCGTACAGCTCAAGTTTACTTTGCTGCAATGAAGAGAAATGAACCCCACATGTAGACACGATAAATTCTAGAAGCACACGTCAATAAAAAAATACTGTTTGTTTTGGATAATGTATTTCAAAGATGTGTTTATATTAAAATGTGTCATCGTATTTAGTAATTTTGTGGGGGCTTATTCAAAGCCTTAATGTAAAAAAAAACCCATAGCCTCGACACAGAGCTCGAATGTGCGTTGCGGTTTTGATGCCAGTACTTTAATAGTTTATTTTTTTATTTTTCAAGAACCCAAACGCGTATAATCCTCCCGAGAGGTATCCGTGGGGAACAATAGCGCAGCGGTCACAGGGTATCACGTTTTCGGGTAGGGGACCAGTCGGGGATAGTTGGGGGTCCACCATCCCGCCGCTGTGGGGGCATCGATCGTTGTGTAACATATCTTTAGGGGACGGGGGTTGGATAATGTAATCCAACAGAACTGAAATATAAAGTAATATAAAGGCGATGCCTGGGTCTAACCAACTTGTTTTCACCTGGGAACAACGATAATTTAGCGTTTTTTTCAGGAATGTGTGAGAGTCGTGTCTGGAGTCAAATCCAAGACTGCAATTTTTTAAAAAAAAATGTTCTCTGTTTTGCCGTCTCTCGTTCCCATCATTTCTAAAATTGTATGTCTCTTGGTTACCAGTTTGTTCGCTCCATTGGCTTAAATGTATCATGGTCATATCTTTTGCATATGCTGAAAAACATGTATTTTATTTCCACACGCGATTTCATTCATATATCATTAAGCCTGAATCTTTAAACCCCTGCGTATTTTATTAAGACAATTCATGTATGTATGAATGCGTGTAAACCACGCCGTGCATTACATCCATCCATTCACAGAAATGTCATGCTCCTATTTGTGATTGACGCTTACATTTCAATGCCGTGACATTGGTGCTGTGTATATTGTGCAACGCTTAACATTTTATTTGGTGCTCTGAAAAAAGCATTAGGTTTTTCCTATATATATTTACTTTAAAACACCCAAACAAGAGTCGTGTTGAGTCGCTTGGAACGGCATCGGCCGGGAGGCAGGTCTGTCGCCGGAGAACGCCATAATCTCGTTTGCGCGCAGGATTTCTGGAGCTTGTGAGCGGCCTTCTGTCTAAAGCCCTGGGTTTTTTTTTATTGTGAGCATAAGAAAGATGCAGGTGTTTACTGTATCACCAAACTAAAAGGTGCACTTGATAAAGTTATCGTCTGGCTCTTGTGTTCTCTGTAGATTCTGTTAGTTTGTTTGTAAGGTTCATCCCTCCATCTGTCCACCTGTCTGTCAGCCTGTGGTGCGGCCTTCCGATTGCTTATTTAGACCAAAAAAACTCTATGCATTCGTCAATAACACTGCGCCCTCGCAAGAAAATAAAAATCAAACCCTCTTAATTGGCGACGTTTCAGGCAATAGCCCTTCTTCATAGCGCGTGAAAATGATATGCCCGCCAGTTTCACTTGTCCTCTCGTATGTCGTCTTACGAGATTTTTTTTGCCTTTCTGTCTTCTCGTTTGCAGGAGAGCGACAATCTTTGGTGGGATGCCTTTGCCACAGAATTTTTTGAAGACGACGCCACGATGACCCTCTGCTTTTGTTTAGAAGACGGACCAAAGAGATACAGTGAGTTTGCTCCAATGTCTCACGTCCGCGACTTTTCCCCCCCTCCTACTACCTTAAAACCTCATGCACATAAATCGACAATACAACCACAACAACAACCGGCAAGTTAATTGATTCGTTGGCCTCTCACCGTCGCTCAGAAATGAGCGTGGCGCCAGAACGTGTACGATGTTCTTGTGAGGTTGTGGTGGCGGTGGGGAGGGGCTGGCCGAGGTGAGGGGGGGCCGTTCCGGGGGGTCGACCGGCCGGGGGGCAGCCAGCCGTGGGGCATCCGGGGGCACTGCCATACTTCGGAAGTTGTAGGGGGGTCCTATTTGCAAAGGGTTCTTGCGGTGGTTATTGGTCACATCGCAGATGCACAGTGACCCAGCATTTGCCTAATTCGCTGTCATTAATTACTGTCACCACGCCACATATGCAGTGCTGACAAAGCCCATTTAACATATGTTTAAACAAGTTGAACTACTGTACTATAATTATATTGAGTCCAAGTAAACACAGGCCACCGAATCTGTACCGAGCGTACTGTTTGTGCACTCCTGTGTATTTAAAGATTCCGTCATCAGCATAATCGGAACAATCGTCAGAATTTTGTCGCTGTGTTGAAGGGAGAAAAATGCGCACTCAGAAATGTAATTAATTTGGACTAAAATATTGTGAGCCAGGTAAAAAAATGTTGCGGTTGTCTTTTACTCCTATCTCATGCATTGGGGAAGGGGGTGTCTCTGGTGCCATGGTGGTGAGATGTTAACTACCTTGCCTGGTATACAGGAGGTTGTAGGTTCGATCCCGACCCTTTCGCCTGCTGTATATTTGGAATTTGCATGTTCTCCCCATGGTCGCGTGGATTTATCTCCGGGTCCTCCGTTTTTTTCCCCTCCACATTTAGAATCGACGTCAAGCGTTGTGAGTATTTGGCTGCTATAAATTTCCACGTGAGAAGCTACCTTGTTGAGCTATCATTTGTGGCCGGGTCGCTTATGGAACGAGCTATATAGCTCAGTGGGCCTTACCTGTTCAAATAACAAAAGTTGCTTAGTTTCTTAATAGTTTATATATGTATGTTGAACTTCTTTCGCACCATATGTAGCCAACCGTGCTAATCGGAGGTATCTTGGCCATGTCTGGACATTTTGAGGTTGTCCCGGCATTCCCGGCATTCGCAGTGCCCCGGCGTAAAGCGGCGGTTACTGATTTGCCACGGGGAAAGTTATCTTTGGCCTCGGGAATGGACTGCGCACGCAATCGCGCACACAAAGCCACCGATCCTCCGTGTGCTGTGAGCGAGCACCTATGAAGGCCGGCACGGTATACGAGGGGGTGGGTGGGTGGCCAGCACCACGCCCGGCTGCACACACCCACATAGAGGCACACGTGTGCGTACGTCGGCGAACTCGCGCGTGCCGCGACTCGCGTGCTGGTAAGCACTCGTGCTCCCACTTCAGCAGGATTAGCCCCGGTGCAGCGGGGAGCAACGGCTCCCCGTCTCGCAAGCCATTGTGCCCCCCCCCCCCTCCCCCTGGCACGACGCCGGCCTCGCCGCTCCCGCCGGCCACTCAACCCGGCTTATAATTGGGCCGCGTCCCCATCCTTCCCAAGTTCCTTTATGTCCCCGTCAGGAGCATTAATGCCCCCGCGTGCATTCCGACCGGTTTGCCCACATGTACCCCTCCCCGTACCAGCCCCCCCATCCCAAAAAAAAAAGTCCCCACTCTGTGTGACGTTTGTTTTGGCAAGCATAACGGCACGCTTTGTCAGCCGGCACTGCGACACCGAGTGTGACAGCACCAGCGCTCTTTATTGCCCCCATCACAGTCGCCGCCCCCCCTCCGCAGCAGAACGTGGTTTGGTTACACGTCGTGGACATCTTCAGACAGCCGTGCACCTTTGGTTGCCCGTTTTAAAACCTGTGTGACGTTTTCGCTCAAAAGAGAGGAAAAAAAAAAGAGGAAACGCGCGTTCGTGCGCTACCTTTTTTAAGTGGCGACACTTCCAGAACCCGCGAAGATAACTCGCGCCGTTTGTAATGGATCTCGCGTGCGATGGAAACATTAAATAGAAAATGAAAATTTGTAACGGTATTTGTTTCGTTTGGCGTGTCGTAATGAAGGAGATAAAAGGTGAAATGTTTTCACAAGTACATTTTAAAAGATGCGGCGGCATGTATGTGTGTAGGCACGTTGGCAACATACCACACTCTTCCAGGGCCCTCTTTGTGGCTGGCATAAAAAAAAATGAAAGGCAATGAACAGCGCTACGCGTATAGCGTGACATCCCTGGCGAGCGTTGGGCATTAGCGATGCTGCCTTAAGTTTGGAGTGCCCGTGGGGGGTTTATGCTGCATTTCAGGTTTCTGCTTGTGTTATGGCTTATTACTATTATTCTTCTTTAAATTTTCCCCGTGTCATCCAAGGGAGGAGTGGAACTCGACGTGCATGGATTTAGCGGAGGGTTTCCATGACGTAATCGCAACGAAACATCAGGATGCGGGGAGGGGGGCCGGGCGTTGGGGTCTGGGGGTACTGGGGTGGCAAGAGGTTTTTGTCGGTGACGTGCGATGGGCTCGGTGGAACACACGCGTTTTTTGAGTTGGCACCGGGAGTTAGGGTTGAACAATTTTTGCAATCCGCCGTGGATCGACGTAGCTCTTGTGATCCGACGGGGAATGCACATCTCCACTTGGAATCCGATAAATAAATTTCAGCTTAAGGATGAATGGCCATTGAACGCCACGGATGATAAATAAGTTTTTTAAAAATCGTACAACTTAGTTCCATTTTTGTGACGTATGCACGCGGCAAAGGTTGTTTTTTTGATCGAACGGGAAAAGCGTAGCTCAATTGGTATGCGATAAACAAGTACACAAACGATGCCCATTTACCATCGTGGCCACGGATGATCAACAGTGAAAGTAAAATCTTACATTTGTGGCATTGTTGCGACGCTTGCGTGCGGCGGAGTTTGGAGGCCGTTAAAAGCTTTTCTGCCAAGGCAATGGCAATGTAAGTGCCCTCCTTGTGATTCCAGCCCCAGAGGTGCTTCGTGAGCTGATGCCGGGGGCCGCGGAGGATGGCCTTGGCTCCGCAGGCTCCCCAGTGAAGCACGTTCTCGATGAGACACTTGTACCGTGGCCGCGAAATCATCTGGCGGCGGGGAGTGCGAGAGGCGTTCCTTGCTCACAAGCCGCGGCGGCGGAGGGTAGCAGACTCGTAGTGGCGTGGGCAGGCATTCGTTTGCGCCGGCAAGCAACGTCCGCCTTCGAAAAAAAAATCAACGATGAGTGCGGTGGCCTTTACTTTAAACGTGTGGATATATTTATTATTTTTGGAAGAAGAAATTGTGTGACATTCAAGAACGGTGACAACACGCAACATTTTCCATGTAAACATTATGCGCAGCGGTATATTTTTTGGTGGGGTGGGGGGGGGGTGTTCAGCCGGGGTGCGTGCTGCTACAAATTTACGGTTAAACCTCTCCACGTGATTGCATGAATTGGAGTTTTGAGTAGCGGGGTTTTCTGCGTGGGCGTCAGGTTTGAGGGAGCTGGTGGGGGATGGGGTGAGGCCTGTGGGGAGTGGAGCTGCGGGCGGTGGGGATGTGGTGATGGGGGGCAGTGAGCTCTTGGAGGAGGGGAGAGAGGGAGGAGGGAGGGAGTTGGGGCATGCCAGGAGTTATGGCAGCATGGACCACGGTGCCTGATCTTGTTTGCTTGCCCGTGTGTGCGCGCTCCTGTGCGCATGTGTCTGTGCTACCTCCTGCACACAGTGAATGCTTGCGTCTGTGCACGCCGGCCGGTAACTGTACACACCTCTTTGCAAGCTCACCCGCATGTGTGTGTGTGTTCGTGTTCATGTGTGCGTGCATAAGCACGTTTGCGTGTACGCGCAAGTGTGCCTACTCGCATGTGTGGTCGATTTGCGCGGCACGTTCTGCTCGGGTGCGCGTGCTGTACCTAAGATCACGCACGTGCACGTTCCGCAAGCGCGTGTGTGCGTGTGCGCGCGTGGTGCGATGGGGAAGAAATGGCGGCCAGCGCGGGCTGCCTCCTCTTGAGTCTGCACCGGGCCCCATCCGAGCCGGCCCCCACGGTCAGTCGGTCCCCTCTGTGAAGCCCCACGCCGCTTGGGCCCTCGCTCTCACCGCCACGACCGCCACCACCACGCACGCGCTGCCAGCCCCCCGGTCTGCCGAGGGCTGGGGCTGCCTGGAACATGCCGTGCACCAAGCCGCTTGCCAGCGTTCATTCATTCCTGCCATGATTATACGCTCTATCAAATTTGCTGAATTGTATTTTAAGTAATCTGCTGTGTATACGATGCGCTGTAATTGGTTTCCTGTTCTGAAACGGTGATGCACGGCTCTTCGTTTCTATTGGTATTTATTATAATTTGTTATGAATTGTCGCGAGTGTGGAAATGCACAAATAGCAAATGCGTACACAAATCTTTTAAGTATATCAACCCTTTAAAATTTCGTATGACTAATCCTCGTCTCTGCCAAACTAAATTAAAAAAAGGTCACTTGCGCTAAACACGTTATTTATGTGAAACTTTAAACAAAGACATTGTAATGCTAATACCGAAACTGGGGCTTGTCGGTATCCTACTAAACCTTACCCCGCGTTATCACAACATGGTGCACCCAACGCGTGAAAAGTACGCGTTTTTCATTGTTAGCTTCCATCCTCACTTTCTCACTGCTCGCTTTTCCCTCCACGTGCGCACATACACGCATGCACTGCCTCTCCCATTTGGGCCCTGTCCCCCTTACTGTAACCAAAGCCACCACACTTGGGATTTGCTTTGATGCTCAGCTTACAAGGAGGGTTTAACCCGTTCAACCTTCAACTCCCGACGTAGCGGGGATTAAGCGACATCGTAGCGAGGTAAAGTTTTTCACCTGTTCTCTTCCGCCGCGGCGTGCCAACCCCTCTGTCAGGCCACGTCCGACCGTGCACCTCGAAGCGCCCCCCCCCCTACCCCCCCCCCCCCCCCCCGGGA